TATATAAAATAATATATATAATATATATAAAATATATATAATATATTATATATAAATATATATTATTTTTTAGCATTCTGAGCGGGTAACTTTTGTAACAGCATTTTATGGACAACGTGAATGCCTCGTGAACACAAAATTACGCTAATAAAGATAAAATACATTACCCGTAAAATATTACGCCCAATTCTGTCTTTGCACGGTATTTTTTACTTTGTCCTAAGACAGTCTAAAAAGATTAATTCAATTTCCATCTCACACGATTTCAGTCACTTTGACACGATTAAACAAAATTACGTCATTTAAGGACAATTTATTTCCATTAACCGTGATTTTCTAATTTCAACCCCTATTGTCTTACAGTCTTTTTCAGTGTGACCCGCTCTTTCCAATAGCAGATTCAAATACATTTTGACCAAAAAGTAATCTTCAAATCTCGATAAAAAAAGCAATATAAAAAAGAATTAATTATATCAGCCTATGTCCTATTACACGCCCTTGTTTGAAACATTTTTCTACAGAAGAGAAATTTTTCCCCAGTAATTTTAGTGGCAGATCTAGGCGTGCCAGGCTGCGTAAAAAATTGAACATCGGTGACTTCGATTTTTCCGATGATTCAAGATCTCGATTAAGACATCATTTCTTCAACAACTTATCACTCAAGATAAGAAGTAGATTCTATTTAGCAACAGACACGAAAGGAAAACAGTGATTTGCAAGAAACCTGGTGCTTCAACGGTGTCGAAACGACATTACTTACAGGGGTAAGTACCCTTAACAGTTTCAAGACTTGGACAGCCCACGACGTTAACATATCAGTAAAACTCTCTTAATAAAACATTCTTCTTCTAAATTAGAAAATATCGAATTCATCACGTCCCAAGAAGCCAATTTCCACTTTATTCGACCCAGAAATTAGTCCAAATTTCCTCGTCGATCCGGCAATTCTCTAAACATTGGAATCGATCCCGCCAGAATTCCGCACCCTCCTGCCCCTGGTGGGGATGCAGCGGCGCGCAAGCCGTCTAGGGAACTTTCCTAACCTTTATCAGAGCCGGCAGTACCGTATCAAAAAAACGTAACACGCTTCGCAAGATCTGCCAACTTCGTCGGCGAGGCAAACGTTTCCTCTACGTTTCAATGTAACCAGATTCTCGCCGCGAATAAATTACGAGAACCGCCGGCACAGAGCTCCGGTAACAAAAATACCCTTTAATTCCATTTTCACACCGGCTAGGGAAAAGACCACGGATTCGCGGATCCGTGCACAAAGCAGCTCGAACCGGTTCTCCGGCGAGGCGAATAAATTCCCGGAGCAGAAACGCGGCGGATCGGGCGAAGTTGCGGGACTGGTTCGTACGGCCCTGTGCGTGAAACGACGAGTTTGTGGTGGATGTGGTAGACACGTTGGTAGATGAAACGCGACGCGCATCTGGCATTGTGTCAGATAGCGGGGTCCCGAGAGGCGTTCCGGCACCAGTAACGAAACGGTCGACGTCGTTGAACGACGTGTTCACACAGCCCCAGTAAATTCGCGAAACAGCAGAAGAGCCGGCACCGCGATGCTTCGATCGTTGAGTAAGCTCCGTTTGCCGCGGTATTTTTCCACGGCGAGCATGCCGGCGCCCGAGAAGAATCCATCCATCATGTACACCGGCGTGAGTAATTAACACTTTTACGATCATTCAACTCGCGACGAGCGTGAACCAACGATTTTGCAATCGCAAAACGGTGTTTCCAATCGTGACTGTCGCGTCGATTCTGACGAACCAATTATTTAGTTTTTCACAGCTACGACTAAATCGATGATTCAACGCGTTCGCCATCGGCGTCGCACGTGCGCGACGATCATGATTTTCTACATCGCGGATACAATCATCGAAAATCGTAGCACGCGGCGCGCTATATTTAGAGAATTTACGAGCGAATAAATGTCCGATCGCCGGCATTTTTATTACATTACATAACAAGGGGGCGCATTTGATCGCCGGGACGACGATAAAATCGCACGCGAACGCTGGTTCAAGACCGGTGAACGAGGAGGAAATTTTGTCGCACGACGAAGAATACAATCGAATAATAGCTTTCTCGGCGGACTGTACCGATCTGTTTGTGTATGCAAACGAAAACATTCGAACGCCGATCGTCGCGACACGTCTACGCGCTTCGAGGCGGACAAACACGATCGAACGCGCCTATTTCTACGTTTGTACAGGGTGTCCTAAAAATGTCTCGCAATGCGAAAGTGGCGGGTTCGTTGGGCCATTCGAAGCAACTTTCTCCTTTGCAAAAATGTTCTCCGAGGCACCGTTAACGAGTTATCGACGAAAAACAATGACCAATGAGGGGCGAGCTCGGCTGGCGCGAGGCGACCGAGCCAATGAGCGGAACTGGGCTTCGCGCGCTGGTTGACTGGGCCGCCTCGCGTCAGCCGTACTCGATTCTTATTGGTCACTGTTTTTTCGTTAATAACTCGTTAACGGTGCCTCGCAGAAAATTTTTGTAAAGGAAGAAGTTGCTTCGAATGATCCGAGGAACCCGCCATTTCCGGATTGAGAGACATTTTTCAATTTCATCGAATTTTTGGGACATCCTGTACATCTGATTTCTTCGCGCGTCGCTACATTGTCACGATCGGCGCGTGGCGAGACGCCAGGCGTCCGGTAATCATCGCGCGGCACCGTGCGATGACACGACAAAAAATGAATCCGCAATCCTATCGGAAATCTGTGTTCGTCGAGCACGGTCGTTCAGATAAGGATTCGCGTGCGCCGCTATCTTATCGCGACTGGTAGCGAGAAATAAAGGCTATCGGCGGAACCCTCGCGCAGAGAGATATCCAAATCCCAATGCAAACGTTCCAGTTCCATAATATTTTTCCTCCCGGCCGGCCCCGGTTGTGCAATCTGGTCGCGACGTTATTTATATCGTCGATGATCCGGAGAGAGAATCGAAGACAAACAAACGTGGAATTAGGCTTGTTAATCCGCGGACATTTGTTGCACAGATCTTCATCGACAACGAATGGCACCGTTCGAAGAGCGGGAATACGTTCCCAACGGTGAACCCCGCGACAGAGGAAGTGATCGCGGATGTCCAGGAGGGCGGCGCTGCCGACATCGACGTGGCCGTGAACGCTGCGAACAAGGCCTTCAAGCTGGGTTCACCGTGGAGAACGATGGACGCCTCCCAGCGAGGCGTGCTGCTGCACAGGCTCGCCGATTTGATGGAACGCGACCGTACCTACCTCGCGGTAAGTGCCGCGAACGTGGTTCGCTGGCGGACGAATGCTCGATATTTAGCACTAATGCGCTAACAATGATTATTTTATTGTGAATCGCTTCTGAGGAGCCTAGAAATATAGCGGGCCACGAAAGTGTTCGTACAATATTTTTAACAGTTAGAATTAGAACCCGTTTTGAATTCGATCGACTGACGATCGATTGGGGAGATCTTCCAGGTCTCATTAAAAATGACTGCTTAATTTTATCAAGATTTGCAGGAGGAATGTTGAAGAAGTAATTGATGCCATATAAGATTGCTTTTATCTAACTGAATGAAATACTTTAATTAAAATTAACGTACTGAAGTATTTTTATTGAAGTATTTTTCCATTTTAACCTTTTAGGCACGACGCGCCACTATAGTGGCTGTCTCTTATACACATCTACTATATTATATTAATATAATATAGTAGATGTGTATAAGAGACAGGAACTGGGCTTCGCGCGCTGGTTGACTGGGCCGCCTCGCGTCAGCCGTACTCGCTTCTCCATTGGTCACTGTTTTTCGTTAATAACTCGTTAACGGTGCCACAGAGAAATAGTCTCGCGCAGAATTCAGCCGTACCTAAAAGGTTAAAGACCTGCAGATGCCAGAAGCTGTCTCTTATACACATCTACTATATTATATTAATATAATATAGTAGATGTGTATAAGAGACAGGAACTGGGCTTCGCGCGCTGGTTGACTGGGCCGCCTCGCGTCAGCCGTACTCGCTTCTCCATTGGTCACTGTTTTTCGTTAATAACTCGTTAACGGTGCCACAGAGAAATAGTCTCGCGCAGAATTCAGCCGTACCTAAAAGGTTAAAGACCTGCAGATGCCAGAAGCTGTCTCTTATACACATCTACTATATTATATTAATATAATATAGTAGATGTGTATAAGAGACAGGAACTGGGCTTCGCGCGCTGGTTGACTGGGCCGCCTCGCGTCAGCCGTACTCGCTTCTCCATTGGTCACTGTTTTTCGTTAATAACTCGTTAACGGTGCCACAGAGAAATAGTCTCGCGCAGAATTCAGCCGTACCTAAAAGGTTAAAGACCTGCAGATGCCAGAAGCTGTCTCTTATACACATCTACTATATTATATTAATATAATATAGTAGATGTGTATAAGAGACAGGAACTGGGCTTCGCGCGCTGGTTGACTGGGCCGCCTCGCGTCAGCCGTACTCGCTTCTCCATTGGTCACTGTTTTTCGTTAATAACTCGTTAACGGTGCCACAGAGAAATAGTCTCGCGCAGAATTCAGCCGTACCTAAAAGGTTAAAGACCTGCAGATGCCAGAAGCTGTCTCTTATACACATCTACTATATTATATTAATATAATATAGTAGATGTGTATAAGAGACAGGAACTGGGCTTCGCGCGCTGGTTGACTGGGCCGCCTCGCGTCAGCCGTACTCGCTTCTCCATTGGTCACTGTTTTTCGTTAATAACTCGTTAACGGTGCCACAGAGAAATAGTCTCGCGCAGAATTCAGCCGTACCTAAAAGGTTAAAGACCTGCAGATGCCAGAAGCTGTCTCTTATACACATCTACTATATTATATTAATATAATATAGTAGATGTGTATAAGAGACAGGAACTGGGCTTCGCGCGCTGGTTGACTGGGCCGCCTCGCGTCAGCCGTACTCGCTTCTCCATTGGTCACTGTTTTTCGTTAATAACTCGTTAACGGTGCCACAGAGAAATAGTCTCGCGCAGAATTCAGCCGTACCTAAAAGGTTAAAGACCTGCAGATGCCAGAAGCTGTCTCTTATACACATCTACTATATTATATTAATATAATATAGTAGATGTGTATAAGAGACAGGAACTGGGCTTCGCGCGCTGGTTGACTGGGCCGCCTCGCGTCAGCCGTACTCGCTTCTCCATTGGTCACTGTTTTTCGTTAATAACTCGTTAACGGTGCCACAGAGAAATAGTCTCGCGCAGAATTCAGCCGTACCTAAAAGGTTAAAGACCTGCAGATGCCAGAAGCTGTCTCTTATACACATCTACTATATTATATTAATATAATATAGTAGATGTGTATAAGAGACAGGAACTGGGCTTCGCGCGCTGGTTGACTGGGCCGCCTCGCGTCAGCCGTACTCGCTTCTCCATTGGTCACTGTTTTTCGTTAATAACTCGTTAACGGTGCCACAGAGAAATAGTCTCGCGCAGAATTCAGCCGTACCTAAAAGGTTAAAGACCTGCAGATGCCAGAAGCTGTCTCTTATACACATCTACTATATTATATTAATATAATATAGTAGATGTGTATAAGAGACAGGAACTGGGCTTCGCGCGCTGGTTGACTGGGCCGCCTCGCGTCAGCCGTACTCGCTTCTCCATTGGTCACTGTTTTTCGTTAATAACTCGTTAACGGTGCCACAGAGAAATAGTCTCGCGCAGAATTCAGCCGTACCTAAAAGGTTAAAGACCTGCAGATGCCAGAAGTGCTCGAAGATCTGCTAGTTTTAACTGACTGTAGGAACATGCTCTCTTGTGTTCTTCTAAGCTGTAGTAAACATTTCGCGTACGACGCCTTAATATAACTTAATATAATATATATAATATTATATTAATATTTAATATAATTAATATAATATATATTATATTAATTATTATATTATATTAATATAATATAACTTAATATAATATTGTTATGGATAAAAGTCGTCTCGTAACCTTGATACCAAGCACTTTTTGTCGAACATGTTCAGTCGCTGGAGACGCTGGACAACGGCAAGCCTTATGCGACCGCTTACGGGTTCGACGTCCCGGCTAGCATATCCGCTCTCCGATATTATGCGGGCTGGGCCGACAAGAATCATGGCAAAGTGATACCGATGGACGGGCAATACTTCGCTTACACTCGTCACGAGCCGGTCGGCGTCTGCGGCCAGATCATACCGTGGAACTTCCCGCTTCTGATGATGTCTTGGAAGGTGGGACCGGCTCTAGCTACAGGTGCGAGTCCTAGCTAAAAATACTATATGTAAAACGCTTCGTTAACACTCGTTTACATAGTCATAAATTCGCGACGCGTTAGCAGACCGAAGGTCTGCTAATTCGAGCGGCGGTTATCTTATCGAGGAAGTTGACCGCGGCAACGGTAATTGCCTGTAATTTTCGTAACGTCTTTTCGCAGGGAACGTCATCGTTCTGAAACCGGCCGAACAGACGCCCTTGACGGCTCTGTACATGGCCCAGCTGACCAAGGAAGCCGGTTTCCCGAACGGAGTGGTGAACGTGGTTCCTGGTTTCGGTAAAGCGGGAGCCGCGTTGGTCGATCACGACTTGGTGGACAAGATCGCGTTCACGGGATCCACGGAGGTCGGACAGCTGATCAAGAAGGGCGCCGCGATGAACAAGTTGAAGAGGACCACATTGGAACTCGGCGGAAAGTCGCCGAACATAATCCTGAAGGACTCCGATCTCGACCAGGCGGTCGAGACCGCTCATTTCGGCCTGTTCTTCAACATGGTACCGATCACGATTTCGAAACTGTTTTAGCGGCGACCACGTCTTCGCGGGTCTGTACGACGCCTTTTTGCTTCAGGGCCAATGCTGTTGCGCTGGCTCCAGGACCTTCGTCGAAGACACCATTTACGACGAGTTCGTGGAGAAGAGCGCGGCTAGGGCGAAGTCCAGGGTAGTCGGCAATCCGTTCGACATGAACGTGGAGCAAGGACCACAGGTATCGAGCGATTTTTAGATGATGGTAACGCGACAGAGTTCGGGCTGAGTTTGTGCGAAAGCTTGTTATTTTTTAAGGTTTCCGACTCCGTTGCATCGTTTTATAGAAATGGCTATAATTTCCATTTCCAAGATATGAAATAGTTTTTGAAATATCGAATAAGTTTCAAAGTATCAAATAGCTGCTAAAGTATCAAATAACTTTTTATGAAATTTCCAGCGAAGGCTATATATATGGCTAACTATATGAAATATAGTATATATAATAGTTAGCCATATATATAGTCTTCGCTGGAAATTTCATAAAAAGTTATTTAATATTTTAGCAGTTATATATATTTCATATAGTTAGCCATATAGTAATATAGTAATATAATATATAAGGCTAACTATATGAAAATATAGTAATTATTTTACTACTAAATTAGAACTACTTCGCCATTCTATTATTATATATTATCTTCTGTTTACTCGACATTTCCAATGCAATATTTCTGTACTTTCCTTTCCTATTGCATTAGATGTATGTTGCAACACGTACAGTGGCCCGCAAAAGTATTCGTACACCTTTCAAAACGCAGTAACTTTTTTTGAAACTGAACTAAATTACTTACATTTTTTTATAGATAATACAGTGTCTAGTATACTAGACAATGACCAAAATGTCTTTTATAAATTTTGCTATTATTTCGAAAAAAAACTCTCGTTATTTAACTTTTTTATCTTACAGTCCGTCTATCGTCTAAACAAAATTCAAGTCATTCAATTTCAAAGAAGTTATCACGCTTTAAAAGGTGTTACAAACACTTTTGCGAGCCACTGTACGTAAAGCACGCTGGCAGTTCATGCACACTGTGTACATATACTATACATATTTACATTTCTCTGGAATTTCACGACGAACAGTCAAGGAAACATGTTATGTCAACGGACGGTAATGCGTTAATTATCCACAACACACACACTGACTCATACATTTCTGCACGTGGATAGATCGACCAGGAACAAGCGGACAAGATCATGTCAATGATCGAGTCGGGCAAGAAGGAAGGAGCGAATTTGGTATCGGGCGGAATTCGCGTCGGCGAGAAAGGATACTACGTCGCGCCGACGGTGTTCGCCAACGTTACGGATCACATGACGATTGCTAAGGAAGAGGTAGGATGACACCTTGGTCAAGTTAAGACAACGTAATTTATATAGACTGTATAACCAACCGACGAGCATGAAATTCGACCGCAGATCTTTGGGCCGGTTCAACAAATCCTGAAGTTCAGCAGCTTGAACGAAGTGGTCAACAGGGCCAACAACACGGACTACGGGCTGGCGGCTGCGGTGTTCACGAAGGACATCGACAAGGCGAATTACATCGTCCAAGGTCTGCGAGCCGGCACAGTTTGGTGAGCGTTACAAAGATTTAGTCTGCGCGCAAACGCAACGACTCGCGGTGCGGTGCTTTCAACGACGATGTCCACGTTCGCTTTCAGGGTGAACACGTACAACGCGTTGTCAGCTCAAGTGCCGTTCGGTGGTTACAAGATGTCGGGCCACGGAAGGGAAATGGGATCCTACGGTCTCGAAGGGTACACCGAGGTGAAGAGTGTCATAGTGAAAGTGACGCAAAAGAACAGTTAAGGTAGCCTAAGAACGACGATCGTACAAATACCGCTGGCGCGACTCAAGCCGCGTTCGACAGCCTTGTAAATACAGGTGCTAGGCCGCGATGCGGTCATTGTTTTTCTTTCTTTTTCTACGTCAATAGGTTTATGTTAGTATCCCAAGAAACTGCTCACGTAGGGAACAGCAGTGTATTTTTGTACGTTGTTTTTATACACGCCGTCGACGCGAGAAGCGTCGAACGATTCATCGGTGCCGTGCGCACTGCCCACACGGTAACAGAGAACTAGGAAGAGCGGAAGAGTTTTGTTCGTTGTACAATTTACAAAAGCAGAATCAATAAATAATTTAATTTCTCTAAACTGTTCGGTTCACAAAGTACGCTACGTGTCTACGATTGTTACCGACGACGTAAGTACTGTCTAATAATTATGTACATGGGCGTAGAAAACTTACAACAAAGCGGGCTATCGCACACAGTCGACGGTCTTTAAGTATATTCGCACATGTGTCCGCATCCGGTCGGGCACTGTCGGTTGCATCGGAACCACTCGCTCATGTGCAGAACATGGCCCCCGTGGGTGCATCCTTGGCACCATGCGTACATGCCTCGCACCACCTGCGGAGAAAGAGACGCGTCGTCCACGATGTTAGATTAAGAATCTAGGCCGTGTAATGCGAGAGAAGCAAGATGTCTCACTTGATGACAAACGGAACAGAGCGCGTGATGCGAGGAGTGGCACCGGTCGCATAACCACGCGGCTCGCTGCAGCGGTTTCGAGCAGGCCAAGCAACACGCGTGAATCACCGTCGATTGCTGATTGAGTTGCGACACCGACGGTATCCAGACCGATTGGATGATCTGTAAAAAAAAGAAGAGCAATACTAGCAAGTGTCCAACCACCGCGTAGATTAAACACGACCGACAAACCTGCGTGGCCACGTTCCAAAGCTTAAACCTTGCCAGCATGTCCAGATAGTCCAGAATCCAATGTTCCTGGACAGCCGTCTCTATGTTCAAGTTCTTCCGTTTCTCTCCCAACGCTATTAAAATCGACGCCGAGGTCTGTATGTCCCTAAGCGCGGCGTGATGCTTCAACGCCTCCTCGATCAAGTTCGTCGGATCCCAGAACTGCGGCTTCGGGATGTTCGAAACGATCAGTTGGCTCGGCTGGTCCTCGATCGTCAAGGACGCGCAGTCCTCGTTGATGTCCGGAGGGTGGTTCGGGAACTGTTCCGGCGGCGGCGATCTGTCTTTGATCTCGTGCCGTAAAGGAAACGCTTCCTTGGACAGTGTCCAGTCGTTCTCGTTGTTCATTATGTTGTGTATGTAGCTGGAACTGTGTATCGTCACCGGCTCGAACTCGCTTTCACCGAACAAAAAGTCCCCCTTCGTGTCCGACCCCTTGTTATCGATGAACGCTTTCTTGTAGCTGCGCATTACAATATTCCGATTAGGATAAACGTGTATTAGCATCGGCCGAGTACACGGAATGCTAACCTGGGCAAAAACGAGCCGATCGAGTGCTGATTCTCCGGCGTCTCGTCGGTCTCCGTCTCGTCGTCGCCCCCGCTTGCCGCTCCTGTTACTTCGCCTTGCAAGGACTTCGCGTCGTTCTCGTGCCCTTTTGAAGTGGTTTATTTCAGAGAAAATTATCGCGCTTCTTTCGCGTACCGCATGATAATTGAATAGACCGCTAATAGGCTACCGGTACGTAAAGTGTTAAGAGAGGCGAGCGTAAACATGATTTCTCAATGTACCGAGGGACGGGTTCGAACGTCTTGAGAATGTGAACTATTCGAGGTATTGGAAGAGAGTACCGCATTTCGAAGACGCTTGTTGTACCTGCGTTCAACTGATCTATGCTGGGCCCGATCGTGATCTGTGCCAAATTCAAGGTGTTCACGATATCTTCCTTGGATGCGGTCGGCGGCGTCTTCAGTATCGATCCCATTGGGTTCGCGTACAAGGTCTTTATAATACTCCATACCGTACTGATCTGTTGAAAGTTAGCAGTGCCCACGATACAGTCATGTCTCTCTGATTGACGCTCAGTTTGTCTACAAGAATGGACAATTTGGGAAGAGGCGATACGATTATTCGAGCCTTGCGACTCGTTTTTATAATTGTGGACAATTTATAACTTCAGAGTGTCCCAAAAATGTCTCGCAATCCGGAAATAGGTTCCTCGGATCATTTGAAACAGCTTTTTCCTTTACAAAAATTTTCTGCGAGGCATCGTTAACGAGATATTAACGAAAAACAGTGACCAATGGAGAAGCGAGTACGGCTGACGCGAGGCGGCCCAGCCAACCAGCGCACAAAGCCCAGTTCCGCTCATTGGCTCGGTCGCCACGCGCCAGCTAAGCTCGCCACTCATTGGTCACTGTTTTTCGTTAATAACTCGTTAACGGTGCCTCGGAGAACATTTTTGTAAAGGAAAAAGTTGCTTCGAATGACCCGAGGAACCCGCCACTTTCGAATTGCGAGACATTTTTGGGACATCCTGTATAACGATAAACCGCAAGGCTCGAATAATCGTGTCTTCTCTTCCCAAATTGTCCATTTTTGTGGTCAATCTGGGCGTCAATTAGAGAGCCATTATTGCACAATAATGTCTCCCTAACTGACGCTCAGTTTGTCCACAAAAATGGACAATTTGGAAAGAGGAGATACGATTATTCGAGCCTTCCTTAATATTTTTATCATTATAAATTGTCCACAGTTATAAAAACGAGCCGCAAGGCTCGAATAATCGTATCTCCTCTTCCCAAATTGTCCATTTTTGTGGTCAATCTGGGCGTCAATTAGAGAGCCATTATTGCACAATAATGTCTCCCTAACTGACGCTCAGTTTGTCCACAAAAATGGACAATTTGGAAAGAGGAGATACGATTATTCGAGCCTTCCTTAATATTTTTATCATTATAAATTGTCCACAGTTATAAAAACGAGCCGCAAGGCTCGAATAATCGTATCTCCTCTTCCCAAATTGTCCATTTTTGTGGTCAATCTGGGCGTCAATTAGAGAGACATTACCGATAATCTGAGCGTCAGTAAGGGAGACATTGCTGTAGCGAACTACTTACATCGTTCCGTCCGGCGTTTCTAGCGACAGCGGCGTTATGGTCGCAAATGTCGTTCAGTCGACCGGACAACAGGTATCCCTCCGCGCAAACCTTGAACCATTTTGGCTCCCGTGGCACGCTCAGGGCGAATCTGTGCATCACGCTGGAAGCCATGCAGAACGTGTCGTTCGTTGCGGCTGTCTTCCTACAAGAGGACGTTAACGAACATTTCAAAGCCCCTTTGGCGAACTCGGGCGTTTAGTATACGGCGGATCTATTAACCTCATGATATTAGTCAACTGTTTCATTGTGGTTGTAACATGAACATTTACTTTACAAGCATACGCAATATCTCCTTTCGGATTCAAAGCAATACCTTGTGGATTCGCTTTGTTCGCCGGCCTAGTCGCGTCTTTGAATACATGGTGGTACAGGGTGCAGTCCTGCGTCAGTAACAGTTTGTTAATTATGCGTGGCAAGCAATTACCTTTCAACTATTAGGTCCTCCCATAACAAGAGCGACACCGCCAAAGAGCGGATGCAAATGATATATGATTTTGCGCTTGAAATTGCTATCGACGATTTATGGGACGACCTAACACTATTACTAATTTACGAGTTACTCGGCTGGTCGACAGGAACGATTGCGGATTGCCTCGCCAAGCCACACCAGTCGGGACATCTTTGTGCTCGTTAAAGCTTGCGAAAGGAATGTACGGCCTGCGTATGTCCCATACGTTTATGCTACAGTCGACGACGAGAGCGCAACTGGATATGTGATACTTTCTTTGGGGTCTCCATTTTATGCGACCCACCGATGCTATAGTGTGTATCACGTAATCGCAGCTTGGCTTACCCGATAAATCCCACACCTAACAGCAAAAAGTTTCAACATGAAGAGCGTTACTACGAGACTACCGTGTTCGATATTGCAATGGTATAAAAAATTGGGAATTACTTTGATTGTTTTGTCTCTAGAAGCGGTCGCAAGCCACGTGGTTTCAGGGTGCCAATCGCACGCGAATATAGGACCGCTGTGGGCGGTGAAATGTTGGAAATAACGGTCCGGTTTGCGCAAATCCCATTGCTGCACGTGGCCATTCTCGGAAACCGCAGCGAAAGTATGCGGAGAATGTGGGCAGAACTGTACATCGCGCACGGATTCGGTGTTACTAAAATTGTGGAGATTTTCCAATGGTTTTCACTATGCTATTTTCCAAATAATATCATTCGGAAGGATCGGATTACCTATAAAAGGTTCTAGCTGCCTCTTTTATTCTCAAGTCGAAGCATTTCATGGTGCCATCTTGGGAACCAGATATCAGCCACATAGGGTCGGTCATGTGGAAACTAACTTTATTTACAGTTCTCTTATGATCGATAAAAACATGTTCCTGCTTGGATCGCGAGGATTTGTTTAAGTTCCAAACCACCACTGCGCCATTTGTGGCTGCAGTTGCCAATATATGGTCTGGATAATGTAAGTATCACGCGTCTCTTTTAGTTACTCGAATTTTCATAGTTTAATGGACTGGCCGTCGTTCACTTACCATCGATCAAATTCCATGCTACATCGTTGCAAGAGAAATTTAAGTTCAAATTTTTTCCAACACGTAAGTTGCAGGCTTCCTCAAATCTGTCTTCCAATAATGTAAATATTTTAAATACTGCAACAGAGGAACGATGATTTATTGTACAATGTCGATTAGTTAGCTGACAGTATATAAAAATAAGAAGTGACAAGAATAATTGTATTTCTTAGAATACGTTGAAATGCTTACCATTTCGTCCTGCTATAACAACTTGACTATTGTCCTTGTTCAGTGCTAATGCATTTGCCGGTCCTTCTTGAGTGATGCACACAGTTTTAGAAATCATTTTGACGTTCCTTGAATTTATAACAGATCATAGCACACCGATGCAGAACTTATTTAACGTAATTCTGTGGAAATATTCAGGGATACTTTCTGCATCCATACCGTGCCAAAAATCCTACTTTGTTATTGAAAGTATACAGAAAATATGATTCTTGCCGAGCTTAACACAGTTACGCCGCAGACTTAGGATCTGTTAGGATCCGAACACTATAGACATTGCAGCACTCCCCCCCCCCCCTCACCCTACGGGTTTCAGTGTCAAGTATGTTAGCAAGAAGCGAAAGTTCTACATACTTCATTTCTACTACGAAAATATGTACTACAAAAATACGATATAAAATGTAATTATTTGTGCTATTACTTGTAACAATTATATAATTCAAGATGGTATATAGCAATAGTTTTATACACTTTTTGCCGCGTACATTCTACATTGTTCTTGTTTGGTTTTCTGACACGATATCGATGCAGTAGATACTACTCAACAATTCCGTACCCTTGGTTTGGTTATTTATGCTTCAATTTTTCCATAATTAATGCGTCTTGGAAACCCTGCATTCTGAATGAATGTGGCGCCTCTGTTGGAGAGAAGATGAAGCTTCGTTCGATGTGCGTACAGCGCCATTTGTTGCAGTGGAAAACGCTGAAACTGTTCGTCAAACTGTGCGTCAAATTGGTCTGTTGTTGGTTCGTCAAAAAAACAAGAATTATAACGAAATGAAAGCGTGAAAAACTAAATGAAAGGCACATAAATGTTCAGAAGAATCTGCTGCATCGACATTGTGTAGGTAAACCAAACGACAATACTGCGAAATGTAATTAATTAACATAATAGTTGACCAAACTTCAAAGAGCAATCGTCACTCGTTTCTGCGTATTATATTGGGCACAGTAGATTCTCCTGAAGAATTCCGTATTCTTGATTTAATTATTTACGCTTTAATTTTGCTATAATTCATGTTTGTTATAATTCTTGACGGTAACATAAAAATATATAATATATATAATATATTAATATATATAATATATTAATATTAATATAAATATTAATATATTATATAATAATATATTATAAGTAAATAAAATATATAATCGGTAACTATAAAAATGAGCCGCGAGGCTCGAACAATCGTACCTGCCCTTCCCAAATTGTCCATTTTTGTTTACAAGCTGAAGAAAAATTAGGAAGAATTTACTATATGCAGAATACTCGATTCTCGCTAGGAAAACTTAGATTTTAAAACTCCATTTTTAGGTAACAAAATAATTCCTCGGATGTCAAGTCTACTCTTATACCTTGTTTGTGCTTATATTTCGTCCATGTCACGTATATGGATTTCAATGCATACCGTGTATATTGGTGTACATGCACTCTTGCTATTTTGTTGTTTACGTCTTGAATACGTTTTCAGAATTATAGACAGGCACATGGATTAACATTGTTTTATACGTACCAGTGAACGTTGTGCGATTTCACGGTTCGGCTCCAGTAATTTCCAAGAGGATCATCCTTGAATGCCTTAGTCGAAGATCAACAAACGAACATAACCACAAAACAGCGCAACGCAACGATCGAGGAGACAAACTCGGAAATAAAATAAAAGGAAACCGGCAACGAAATGGTGAAGATAGCGTTGAAAATAAAAGCTACAACGGAGAACGTGGAGGAACTGAGACCGTCTGGTCCTGGGTTTCGTTGGTATTTGAAGTTAGTTTGTTCCAATTGCCGCGAGGAATCCGACAAATGGAACTATCTGTCCTTGAGCGAGACCGTCGCAGCCCCGAAAGGGCATGGTGTCAGTCATTACGTGAGCAAATGCAAGCTGTGCTCGCGCGGAAACTCTATAACGATATTAGGCGATTTAGTGAAACCGTTTGTCGCGCGCGATCAGGACAGCTTCCAGAGCATAGTGGTGTTCGATTGCAGGGGCCTTGAACCCTGTGATTTCTGGCCACGAGACGGATGGACCGTCAAATCCGTCGACGACGGCACGGAATTCACGGACGTGGATTTGACGGAGGGCGAATGGGGCGAATACTGTCAGAAGATTGACAAGTCCATATGGATTTATGGAATTGAGTTCAGGCTCGAAAAGATCAAATAACACGGAGAATGAAGCGTGTGCTCGAGACAAACGTTTAGATTATTATTTGCGATTACCGTTGATTATGTCTTGTTCTCACGTAATATTCTATATTGTATATTTTATGTATATTTCGTATTTCGTATAACGATAATGTTGAATAATAATAAAGACGATAATAACCTTGACGTAATCCTTTATAATTGGAAGCCGATTTTCCCATAAGATATATATTATATATATCTTATTATATGTATATATTTATATATCTATTTATATATCTTATTATATATATTTATTCGAGTATTGTACTACTGGGTGAAACATACAAGTTGAATATCGCGCCACGTGTTTCAGATGGAGCGCCAGGCGGCCTCGTCTGTGTGTGCACCCACACATAGAGCCTGCTGGTTTCGTTCTATCTCTCTCGTTTATCTCCTGTTCTCCTTCTAAAGCAACTGCGCGTACCTAAATGGCCGTTAAAATGATGTGGACAAAAATGCTTACCATGCTGAAGCAGAATTGCATCTTATGGTGTGAGCCATGACAACATGTTTTATATGTCGATAACTTGGTGAAGGGTTTCAGCGTTTTGCCACTACGAGTGGTGGCGCTACATTAAACTATGTGTGGGTTTTGCATGTTGGCGCCATCTGTAGTATACTCAAAGTTATCTGTAGATAATTTTGGCGAGTAGTTTGGGCGTTTTGCCACTGCATTGTATTGGTGCTGTTCGACCGTTTGAATGCAGCAGAAAATTCGTGCCGGATTTTACGTTGCCTCTTATAGGAAAAGCGGCACGAATCAATTGCTGCAAAATTCGATGTTCGAACATAAAACGGAAACTCGTTTATAACTATTGAATCACGACTCGAATATACAAAAATTGATTACAGGTACATTGCTAAAGATGTCTTCTAGGTTTTCCAGTAATAATAGTGGGAGGAGATTCGAAATTAGGTTGAAAAATCGTTAAATCCTGATCGCTAACCCGTAGGGAAAAAGATCGAATCGACTTGAGGATGCATTCTCGTAGGAATTTTGGCATGAATAGGGGTTTAAATTGAATCTAGGCGAACATGTACTTTAATACAGGGTGATTGTAATTCAAAACGATTAAGATTAGCAAGCTGGAAATCTAATTATACCGCGTTTAATACGGAATAAATGTTGTCAAACAAAGCCTGTTGCAAATTGGTTCGTTTTATTTGATTAAACATTCGGTTTTCCTTCGTACAAGTTGCTTATACAACTTCTAAAAGATCATTGAGACGTTTGCATCGGATCATCGTGTGCGACGCGTTCATAAACAACGAGAACGATCTTTTCCGGAGGGTGTCAGGGGTGGCGATGGTGGTTTGTCAAGCATGGCCGAAGGAGAGCACCGTGGTTTCGAGCGAGAAAATTTATGGGTCGCGACGTGTCGACGGAAACCTTAAATTTTAACGTCCCTGTCGCCATCTCCCGCACCCCCGACCCCATGGCGGAGGACTTCGAGAAAATGGGGGGTGGGCATTACGACTTGACTGCCGCGGCTCCTCCGCCCGTCGCGACGCTAGAGAGAGAGAGAGAGAGAGAGAGAGAGAGAGAGAGAGAGAGAGAGAGAGAGAGCCGGCGTAGACGGTGTTGCAGGAAAAGGTGTAGGGAAGAGGGTGGGTTATGGGTTATAACGCGGCGAAGAACATCCGAATAAAATAATAATAAACCGTAGATACGCGTTTCAGCCCCGCCGGCGTTCCTTGCTTCCTGATCTTTTACCTCCCTTCCTCTTCCCGTCTCCCCTATTTCCACCCTCCGCCCCTCTTCTCGTCGCCGAATATACTTTTTCATAGTAACCGAACGAGTACAGTAAATCCTCTAAAATTGTCCGGCAGCTTGTAAACAAAAATGGACAATTTTGCGAGAGGCTCGTTTGTTTAGTCGCCGATTGTCGATAGAACTATAGAAATCTGTGCTATTCGAAATGGAAGCAAGGACTGAAAGTGATAATTATTTGAGAAATTTGGGTAGAAATAATTATTGATAGTAGTAACTTGTTTATTGTTAAGTTGAGGGTAATGATCGATCGATGCTTTTTTAATCGTATGTTCGCTCTCTTTACTGTACATTCTCCCTGATTGTTTTTCGGCTTGTAAACAAAAATGGACAATTTAGGAAGAGGAGATACGATTATTCGAGCTTCGCGAATTAGAAGAACTATGTCTCCGCTTCCCAAATTGTCCATTTCTGTTTACGAGCTGAGGGACAATTCGAGAGAATTTACTACATCTCCTTGTAGGGCTCGAAAATGATTTTATTTCCACGCGAATTAGGGGGGTCGACGAGGCAAGCAAAATTTATTATTAAATTAAACGTTTAAATTTAAAGTTAAATATTCTTAATACTAAATTATTAGTGTTTCAACGTCTAAAAATAGAAAACGCGTCTACACGAACCGATTACTCGGAAATGCTTTTATCGCAACGCGTAGATCGATATCCGAGTTAGGGGTCGACGAGGCAAGCAAAATTCACTATTAAATTAAACATTGAAATCTCACTTAAATATTCTTCACACAAAATTATCAGCATTTCAACATCTTAAAACCGAAAACGCGTCTACCCGAATCGATTACACGATGCACCGATTCCCTGTCGTCCGAAGCAACCACAGTTTCGTCCTCCTAAAAAACGGGTGTCCACCGCTTGTTTAAACAAAATTACCTCGAATCAAGTCGAACAAGCCGAATTACATTCTATCGAAAATCACTTCGTCGAGCATCGGTAAAAGCAGCGTACGAGCCGTGTTAGCTGGAAAACGGGGTCGCGGCTCGGAGGGTTGCGTCTCTGTTCCCGCGTACGCGTGTGTCCGTGCGACAATAGACCTCTAATCAACTTAGTTGCAAGGCTGGCGGAATTATGTGGCACGGAAGCCTCGTACATTGCGGCAACGCGGCCACGTGAACCGCCAAACCTGAAAAAAGCCGCTGCTATCCCGTGCAAGTGCGCCGATAATTCTTAAAGGGGATATAGAGCGGCGAAAATCATCGAGTCACCGAGCGGCGTCGATCGTGGAAAAAGCGTGTTTCCAACAGCAGCAGCAGCAACGGCAGCGGGCTCGTATCGCATGTATAATTGATGCGCCCGCGAATTATTTATTCATCCGCCTGTCCGTTTCGCGAATGTAAATGAACGTGACATGCAAGACACCGATGATGCTGGACGGCGCGGCGCGGCGCGGCGCTGCGCCGCGCCGCGCGGAGTGAAACGCGCACGGCAGCGAAACGGCGACGTCGTTTTAAGGCTCGCGTGTCGCCGCCGATTGATATAATTTCCGACGGTTCGCGTCGCCGTAATAAAATGTGACTTTAATCGGCGTCACCGGCGCAGAAAACGCAACGTCCACGTGGATATATTAATGATCGATTCGAGGCGAGCGAAGCGACGGGAACGCGCCTCGAGCGCGCGGCACCGACCGTCCGTTCTGCCGGATGATTTTCATACCGGTTCGAGCGGATCTATCGGCAGGGCCAACAACGGGAGGCCCCCGATCGACGGGAATCATCGCTCGGCTCCTCTACGAAATTATGCCAGGGTTATCGCGGACGCAACCTCGTGCCGGCGGCTCGCGGCGCGGTGCGCGGCGCGCGGAGCGGCGAGAAGCCTGATTAAAAATGAAAAGTTCCTCGGAACCGGTTTTCCGGTGCGTGATCGCGGATGGTCCTCCCGGAATTCAGCCAGTCCTAGTCATCATGCATTTATGCCTGAATACAAAGTGCGTGAGCTGCCTGCCTGACTCCGTTTCACCGCCGTCTCGGCGTTCAACCCTTTGCCCGAAAAAGGAAAGGGAGAGAGAGAGAGAGAGCGAAGAGAAACGAGAGGGAAAAAAAGCACAGGCGCAGGCGAAGGGAAGAAAGGGGAGAAAGAAAGAAGAAAAGGGAAACGCAGACTCTCCGTAAATCTTCCATGCGTGTAACTCCTCTGACGAGGAAGCCACGCGGCGCGGCGCGGCGCTCTCGTTGCGAGAGAGCCACGGAGTTGTTTATGCTTTCCTGTGCAGCAGCGCTTTCTGAAATATGCAAATCGCGAGTTCGCATAATGGCGTTATCGCGGTGGGATGCCGCCGGCGTCGGCAACGACGACGACCGACGACGACGACGACGACGACGCCGAGAGATAGCTGAATCCAGCGGGCCGAGAGAGCAGAGCTCTCCTCTCTTCTCTTCCCGCGACATCAAACGGGGACCGCCGCCGCCGCTGGCCAGCCCCATTGATTTGTCCCTGAAGAAGGAACATCCAGTCGAAAGCGTCCCGAAAGCCGCGATAAATATATGATCTGCGAATCCGCTCGGCGATCGCTATGACTCACGGAGCATCCTCCTGCGAGACTACGGCCGACCGACAACCGATCCTCCACCTTCGAGGGCCACCGAAAACCTTCTCGCGGCGTCGCGCGATTTTTTTTAAGGTCGAGACAGATCGGCGGATCTAGCACGGCCGCCCACCTGGAGGCTCTCGGAACGTCGTGATCGTTTATTTGGTATTTATCGGACGCGGTTGTTCTGCGATGTAAACGCATCGGAAACGTACGATCCGACATTGGAAACTGGAATGACGAACGTCTGATTCGCGTAAGTTTTAGTGGAATTGTTAGATGTTATTGGTTTGAGTTATTATTATTGTTGAGATAATAATGCAAGATTTCGCTATTTATTTGATATTTATTGGAGACGGTTTTAATATTTATTCTGCGATGTAAACGCATCGGAAACGTACGATCCGACATTGGAAACTGGAATGACGAACGTCTGATTCGCGTAAGTTTTAGTGGAATTGTTAGATGTTATTGGTTTGAGTTATTATTATTGTTGAGATAATAATGCAAGATTTCGCTGTTTATTTGATATTTATTGAACACGGCTTTGATATTTATTCTGCGATGTAAACGCATCGGAAACGTACGATCGGACGTTGGAAACTGGAATGACGAACGTTTGATTAGCGTAATTGTTTGTTGCTAAGTTTTAGTGGAATTGTTAGGTGTTAGAGTTATTATTATTGTTGAGATAATAATGCAAGATTTCGCTGCTTGGACGGAAACTTTTGCGCGCACAAGGTGCAAATTTTAAGGTTTGCGACTCTGATGCCGATCGCTTCGCAGAGGCGGATGTAACTTTTGTAATATCGAATAGGTTTTCGTGGAATTGGAA